AAACTCAAGGTCAACCCTGCCGGACCCAAACTCGTCGACGGTCTTGCCACCTGTGAGCGATCATCGGTTCGCCTACAAGCATTCTCCGCTTGGTCCGCTCCTCCACGTCCCTGACTCAACCGATAGGTTCTGAGCAGTTTGATGTGTGTCCGAAGTTATGGGAACCTTCTGACACCCTCCCACAAGTATACAAAAATAGAGTTTACCACAATGTAACTCGTGGTCTACCAGCCAACTGCTGCCCCATGTACCTTGCTCCGGACAAGCGAAACGGAGTAGGCGGAAACTTTTTGCACGTGCCGGATGTCGGAATCATCCTAACATCTTCCAGCTCTTTGTCTCAACAATTACACATGAGGTTCAAATTGTCCCGCTGTGGCTGGAGACCTTGTGGTGAATACCGCACTGTAAACAGTGTCACGATATCAGGTCGATACCTATACTTCATAGACATGACCTGACAACAAGTTTAAGGTGATGCAAGGTGTTTAGCAAAAGCGACTTAGTTCGTGTGAATCGCTAAATCTAAGTGCACTCTGAAGACCTTCCCAAACAACGGTGACTATACTGTCCGCTCTGTTTGAGTTTCTGCCTATGCATATCGGATCCCGGAACGCAGTTCAAGTCTTTCAGTGTTTTATCGATGAGGTGTGCTAGGCAACACCATTGCGTATTTCGACGACATTCTCGTTACCAGACCTCTCCGGACGGGCACGAGCAGCACTTTCGTGCTCTCTTTACGAATAACGCAATATAGTGCTCCTTCGGAGAATCTAGCATGTCCTTTCCAGGTTATTGTTTCTCCGAATTTTGCGTCTTTTTATCCGGCTGTTAGCGCTCTATTAGCCGACTAATGGGCTAAAAATGCGCTACGATTTTGGCGCCATAGCTCATTTGTAGCTCAAACAGATCCGTAAACTAAATGTACGGACAAATTACTGGGAACGTGAACAACAGAGAATTAAAATTTCTTCGAAAAATAATTTCAACGTAATTAAATAATACGAGAGCTCTTCATTTTTAGACGCTGGCTTCTCGGTACCCCAATGTAATATCAAATGTCGCAAACGAGCGTTTTTTGTAAAACCAGAACGCGACACTTCACGAAACGGAAGACGGTTGTATTGTATAAACCTGCAGACCCAAAGGAAAGATGCAGAAGCGTGAGTAAGCGTGTGGAAAGTCAAAGAGAACACGCGCGGACCAAAGAAATGATCTTGGTGTGGTAAAACAAAGAGATGCAAGAGGGGAAGGTTACGTGTAGACTGAGAGGTGGTTATTTTCACTACACAATAAGGAAAACACGTGGAACGGGTTTTTCACGTTAAAGTCAATAAAATGATTTATAAGGATAAAAAGAAATTTCATAAGTTCCGATTGAGTAAAATTTAGAAATTTAGAAACATAGACTGGAATAAACAAATATCAGGTCATAACGACAATCTCAAATACAGATAGAGATTTCCTATATGTGAAATAATTATATTACACATAAAAATGCAAAGAGATGCGTTATCAATTATACAGTCAAGCATTACCCACCAACCCAGGTAGCAAGTCGTCGGTTAATAGAGCGCTAAAGAGGTACAGCACCAAAATTGTGACGCATTTGTGGCCCATTGCTCGGCTAATAGAGCGCTATTAGCTGGCTACAATGAGTTGCAATTTTGAAAATTCCGTTTTATGATTTCCGTCTTCTCTGTTCTCTAATCCCGTATAAACCCCTTAGCTTCTCGCGGTATTACTACCTCGCAATGGGCTCAAGCACATGTTTTGTAATGGTTACCACTTACTTTACTGACTAATTGAATAAATCATTTTAATCTTCCTCTACCGTTCATGTATTATATATGTATGCAAATATTTGGCGTATTATAGAAGACCATTTATTCGCTGATATTATATAATATAAAAGTAAAAAGTATATTACAATGGCTGTGTAGTGCTTTCCTGTCGCAATTTTCGACGGAAATTCTGCCCGCCATATTGTTGAACCGACTTCGTATTTCCCTTTCAACACAATGCATTGAAGCGTCGATAAATCTGGGGTTCGATCGAATAGCATCTAATAAAGTAATGCATATCTTATCATAATTACTTACCGATAGCACCTTTAATAAACAAACGGTCGGAAGCTTGTATTTCCCATGTTTTCCGGTGTAATTCATCTACACAGCTAAGGAATCATGTAGTACCGTAGATAAGGCACATTTAACATGTGCCAAGTCCTTTCCACTCATTTGCAATACTTGTTTCACCTAAGCACTCAACAGAAAACAAAACTACAAATTTGTCATATGTATTCTCATCTGACAAATTGCTTTTCGATTCTCCCATTTTGCAGGAACTAGGTTATCGGTACCCCGGGCTAATACGTATAGGTCGCAAACGTACGTTCGTACGAGGAGAGAACGAGGCGATTCACGAAACGGAGGACGACGTGTATTATAGAAACCTGCAGAGCAAGAGAGAGAGATACAGAGGCTTGAGCAAGCGTGCGGAAAGCGAAAGCAAACACGTGCTGACCGAAGAGGTGGCCTTGGTGTGATAAAACAATCAGATGCACAGGAGGAAATGTACATTGAGAACGGGGTGTGATTGGTTACTACAATTTGCACCACGCCTTTGGATGGATTATTGACAGCAGCAAACAATCTACCTGGTTTTGGCTGTTGTGATATTGCGATGCCATCAAATTTACTCTGTAGAAATTCCATTTTGGTGTACAACAGTCGTTGCTCTGCGCATATTGCACTCAGTGTTTCCAAAACAATGAACAAAACCAAACATGTTACCTGATATTCGGAAAAGCAGATTTCAGTCATCATTGGTATAACCGGACGACATAGTGGTGCATGAAGTGCTGAATGTTATGATAAATTATGAGCAGAACTTACGTATTGCTCGGGAGAATACTACTGGCCCAACTCCCTGTAGTTGGCAATTTTGGGGTGTTGAAGATGCCCTCCATGAATTAACACTGTCCACTAGAGTCACGTCTGCGTAAGATCTGTTACAGAAATAATGCATGGTACCCAAACGTTTACTAACTTTGATGGTATGAGCACCGGAGGTGTTGGACTTCTCAGTCTTTATCGATGACGAACAGGTACTTCATCATTATCACTACTGAAAATGATTGGTCTCCTAAACGTAGATTGTTATTTTTCAGAACAAAGCTCACCTCCTTCGGGTTGAGAACTTTGAAGAGAAATAAGTCATTGAATCCGTTTGTTCGTTATCATCATGGCTGGATGCATTTATTAAATCGAGTATTGATTGAAAGGGAGCACGTGTAGAGTAGAAAAACAGGTTCAACAGAAACAAACGCCTCCAATTTCGTTCCAAATGATGGGTACTTCACAAAGGCATATAAACCTATATAGAAATAATCGATGTAACTGATGAAATCACTGTTTCTCATGCTTATTAATATTGAGTGGCTTTCATTGACATGACTGTGATATGCGATTCAAAAAGCGAATTGGCGGATTTTCGGGGTTGAAATGCAGGCATGATTCACGGGTATCTACCTCTGTATCGCTTTGGCCAAAGCGATGCATCAAAAAGAAAGTTCTTCTTATTCGCAAAATGTGTCGCTCATCACTGAGTAGGCGCTTCGGAATCAATCAGCCTTCTTCAATCAGCAGTATTGTTATACGTTTTTACTTGGACCAAATTGAAAACTAAGGCTGCTTGACACTGCTTTCTTTTACTTTACCTCTGTTCAATAAAATTGAACTGTACTCACCGATCTATTCCGGCTTGATGTGGTTTGACAGTAATGCGTTCGTAAGCAGCAAGCCCCTCTTTCTTACCGGACTTGTATACTGTATTTTCTTATTTGTGAAGGGTGTATGAAACCTGTTTGAGAACCATGCTTACCCATGGGACCCATAAAGAGTATATCATCACTGATCAATTTTCGCTGTGAATAAATGTTAGCTGGTTATTGCGTTCTTTAAAACAGTCTAGAAAACATCAGAAACAAGACCAGTAGAACCATAACCAGTCTTGTTCAGAGGGCTTCAGAGGTAACCGTTTGGAATTCCCCCTTTTTGGATGAGCATTACATTCACGAATTAAGCTAAATTATCAAGGAAATCAGTCGTCACAGATACACAGGACAGGTAATCACTTTGTGCTGATGTCTCATGGAACGGCACTGAGCGAAGTTCAATCGGTTTTTCCATAGACCGATAAAAATTGAAATCATATATCTGAGTGTATAGATTATTGCCAGCGTTACCTCAAAAGGGGATATCAGCAATTCATTCAGTCACTGTTCAAGCAGTCTGTGTTATCCAAATGGTGATTCCATGGTGTCAATCACACTGAGTAATGTCACTAAAGTATGTGTGGGACCACTGATGAACAGAAGCAGATAATCAGTGTGAACAAAACCATATTTATGCAGTTGACATGGCGACTATTTGTATCCATATCTTGTCATTTACCTGGCATCACGATCTCTAACGATCTCCCCTTTAGTCAAATCTAATATCACCTACTTCCCCCTGTGTGCCTCAGATCCAGTAAGCTTCGAACTTCAAAACTCCGAAAGAACCATTATGCAGAAAAAAGTATAACACTTTTCTGGGTATTACGTGAGCCTCATTGCGATTGTTAGTTACTGTTTGCTCCAATGCGCAGGGCTATACCATTGATTCTGTTCCGGCGGATAACCGTTGGACTTTTCCAAATATGCTTACTTTTGTACACATGTGCGTGTGCGCGTGTGCGACACCGGGAATAGATATGAACATGGTGGGTCATGTGGATGAAGTCAAGCGCCTAAACAAGAGCTCGGATTACCGCCTAGATTGACACTATAAGTTGTTCATTCGACGAACATCAGGACCCCTGATGGTTTGCGGGCTGTGGGGGCAGAGAGCGAGACGGTCAATGGCAGTGAGTGCATCCGAATTACATATATAAATCGACATTCAGTTATGCTTGTTACTTGACACAGTGGAATCATACACGGGGACAGAGAAATCATGAGTGAGCGCAAAGCTGTGATCAAAAATGCGGACATGGCCAACGACAGACAGGAGGATGCCGTCCAAACGGCAGCCATTGGATTGGATAAATACCAAGTAGAAAAAGACATTGCAGCATTTTTGAAGAAAGAGTTCGATAGAAAATATGGTCCAACGTGGCACTGCGTTGTGGGTAAAAGTTATGGAAGGTAAGTTTGTATGTATTTGTGTGTGTATGGTGACGGAGTGATTGCTGACGGATTATTAATTTGAATAAATGATTGTTACATTTTGAAATTTCTGAATATGCCCATACTCTCATTTAGATCACACTTTCAGGCGAACGATTATTTTCAGTGACTCATATTCATGCCGTTACAGTTTATATCAGGGGAAAACCTAGGGGCTGGTAGGAGAACAATAAAATGTGAGGAATCGCTCATTTTGTGTTTGTGTGATGCACTTTACGTCGATCGTACAGTTATCTTTCCGCATGAAAGAACACCATCCGCGCTGGCTGAGCCGAGGTGGTTTCGGATATATCACAACTGTGATTCTCCCCCATTTGGTAGACACCTAAGTGAAGCATTCCGCATTAATAACCAGTTCCCCCGGAAACGGTTCAAATATGTTAGAATGCGTAAGTTAACCACAGATGAAGCCAACTGCATTACACATTTGACCCCCGGACTATTTGCCCAGAAGCGTCTTATCCAAGCGCTCCATCTCCCCTGGGTTCGGGAACGCACCCACAACAACAGCACCGATCCCTCAGAACTGGATCACATGACCAGCGCCACATGTCTGCAAACCCCGGAAGCACAGATGTGAGAATGCTGTTTGCAAAACATACATGGTAGGTAACCTTGCTGTCACCCGGTTCTATACCACACCTGACCTAGCGGGGTATTATGTGGTTCGTCACTCCAAATCCCGGGGCTTAGGGTGCCGGTTACCATTTGTGAACAACAGGTCTACTTGACTATGGGGTCAGTTCCGTCTGTTGTTCATCACACACACGGGTGTGTAGTAGAAAAGGAAAACACAAAATGAACGATTCCTCACAGTTTATTGTTCTCATCCTAACCCCTAAGTTTTTCCCATCATATAAACTGTAATAGCATGAGTATGAGTTACAGAAAACATTCATTCACCTGAAATTATATTTTTTAAATGTTATTTCGATTTGGTCGTACCCAGTATATAAATCACCTGGCTGCATTATTAACTGCTCAAATCCGAAATTATGCTTCAATGATCAGTGAACGCAGTATATTGAAAAGTGTTATGGTCTGTCTGACAAGGGAGGTTATTTTTTCAACAAGTAAGCGAAATTCCTGTGGAAGCAGAAACACCAAATCAAGTCAGTAACACAATTTTCTTCTGTATGAAAGTTATTAGAAGATAAGTTTATCGAACGGAGGCGAAACATGTATGAAAATATGCTGAAATATTCTGAGCTAGTCTCACAATTTCTATCTATCAAAAAGCGATTTCCGTTTATCCGCTTGGTTAATGAATAGGTTGATCACAACTGCATATAATGATCTAACAAGCTGTTGGCACCAACTTTGTTAAAATATCAATTCATCTATCATTTCACCTTTCAGCTATGTCACCCATGAGTCCGGGAATTTCATCTACTTCTATCTACAAGATCGTGCTTTCCTACTGTACAAATCAGGTTAAACAATTATTGAAATATATGTTTTCTCGTGAAAATAAAAAAAGGATCATTTTTCTGTTTTGTGATGTTATTTCTGAATCAACGAGACAGCGAATTGGGTATATGTCCATTTTGAAGAAGGTTTAGGTGTTTTACCTTTACTGGTGCGTAATAAGGATTATAGATTTCATTGAACTGCCTATGTATGTTTGATACTGGAGGTTTGGAGTTGTTTGATCTCTTCACGGCACAAAAGGATCACATTGGAAGAGCAAATTTTAGGTTCTTTGGGTATTCTGGCCTATTTTTGCCACTATCAGTTTTGCCTCTTACGCCTTTAACCACTTATGCAACCACAACAATAAGTGTAATAGTGTGACATCTGTCTTTCACTTGAAATAAGCCTGTGGCTTCGGATAAATTTGAATCCCGAGTGTAGGGAAGTAGAAGATGACTATTCTTGGTACACAGTTCATCGAAGTGTCTCTTACTAAATAAATGTGTTTTAGCTATTCTAGTCAATAATTTGATGCTTACCTGAAAGTGTTCTTGCACACTCTCGTAGTTCATCATCTAGACTGTTTTATTGATCAAAATACTGTTGATGGGCTCACATGGTAATGCGTTGTGTTTAGCCCAAAGTTACAATATTCAGCGTTCCAGTGGCACCCATTTCAGTTTCACATAAAGCGCCTGGTAATCTAAACTCGATCAGTAGCAAATGATTAATGAAAAGCAGATACACCAGATATCGATATACTAGGAAGTGAGCGTGCCTTTGAGGTTCGGGCTTTTCAAAATGCAGTGCGATTTCCGCGATCAGTCAGGTTACAGTCACATCAAATATTTCGGGCTAATTACGAAACATAAAAAAGAAGGTTCCGAGTATTAAGGTGACTTGATTTGTCTACGAATCCAACATTAATACTCTTTCAAATAATTCACTTAAGCAAACCGATTCATAGTGTGGCTAAATTGTTGTACAAAATGGATGTCTTGTGTAACTTAATAGTGCAACTGTTTTCATTGTCTGAAATTCAATCACAGTGCACTGCGTCTTTTTCGTTTCCGGTGCCCAACAGCTAATAAAATAACAGCGATTCATCTAAAAATACCAGGATATATTGTTCACACGATTGCCAGGAAAAGTTTTAGTTAGAACTAGCTTGCTAATTCGGAGTTTGAAGAATGTAAGCAGTCGTTGGGTTTGAAGGATTTACGGTTCTTGAGAAGAGTTCATTGAAAGTTGAAGTCGATATATTTGATGATATATATATATATATATATATATATATATATATATGAGCTTCTTAGCACTGCATTTGATCTTTAGAGCTCAAAATATCTGCCCCATGGAGTTAATGGAGGAAAAACCAAGAAACACCACACTCCTGGATAATGGATACCCAGGCTGTTTCATCTGGAAGAACATCACAAAAGGGTGCATATTGCCCAAGCAACCAGGGGCCGAAAGAACGTAATATTCTTGCAGCTCTCTTTAAAGGAGACCTACTGAGAAGATATTTGGGCATAACAATCCAAAGAACCTACCCAGCCGCCACTATGCATGCTACATTTACAGGCCAGCTAAAGGTCTACACACACCTTAAGGATAGGCGGTCTATCTTCTCCACATCCATGATTCCTTCAATTGCACAAGCAAGGGACGCAAGTAAATACTAACCAGCGCAACTGTGACTCACCTCGCAGATACCGGGCGCCAGATAGACAACAATGTATTTGAACTTATTACCAAAGTGCCCCAAAACAAGTCAAAGTGCATTCGATAACGTCACTTAGTAACAGCAGAAACAATCGCAATCAGAATCCTGAATCACTATTATATAAACAGAAGAAAATGGTTGCTGCAAACCAGTTGCCTTGGCTTCATCCCAACCTACGGAACGAACCGAACCTGAAACGAGTCTTGATGATGCAAAACGGCGTGACACGTTGAGTGTGAATAAAAGGTCATCGGAAATTTCCAAAAGTAAACTTAACCCCCACCCTTCTTAACGGGCTCTAACGTAACTTGAAAAGCGATTTTCTTCATTTTCATTTTCCTAAATGAACTAATTACGTTCGGTTCTATCCTATGCATAAACACAATCAACCGTAAATGCTCGAAGACGAAGCTGCCAAAATAGTCATGGTTGCTTCATTTTTTTATTAATATTATTATTAGAATTTTCTACGGATGAGTTAGTGCTTATAAATGGTAACTTCAAGAAAAAATAAAAACCGACATATTAGCGGTAGCGTACGAACAAGGACGCAAATAATTTACGGTGGGCTGGTGGCTGCAAGTTACTTGTTATGGATGGGTCAGACTTAAGTTGATCCCCATCATGAGGAGATACGAAAATAAATGAAACGTTGACCCATGGAATATGGTCATGCAAGGTGAATATTAACTTTGTAAAGTGAGAATTGTGTGGGAGGAAAAAGCCCGGCGTGGGGGAGAGAGAGTTAATATTACGCGTTCATTGAACAGAGGACGCTAAAGATATTCCGGGTGGTTTGCATCAATCTGCGGTAAGCAGAAACCTTGAGGCAAAATTTAAAGCACAAAGAGAAATAATCAGGTTTAAAAAAGACAAGCACAAGGAAGATTTATTGGCATTAAGCAGTGTATGATAACAAATGATCCAAGCAGAAATACGACCAATATCATAATTATGAGAGTTGCTGCTTCAATTCATTTCGCACTTGCCCTAAAAGCCTTGTGATTCATACAGTTGTAGTGTGTTTCCCTGGGAAGTACAACACCCTGGTTTTCCACAGTGTCAATGTAAGCGCACTGCTTGTTTTATTGGACTGAGTATCCTGGATCATTTGGATCATTCTTGCAAATGTAGCGAAACAATACAAAGTACAAATCTGTGGTTTTGGCTCCTCTCGCACAGAAAATAACTTTATTTCTCTTTGTTTCCTGGCAATCAGCTAAATTTCAGTGATCGCAAGCATTATTGATTGAAGGTTTTCAAATACCACTTACAAGAAATGGGATGGTTGATGATATCATTCAATTGTAGTAAAAGGGTAAAGGTTAGGGACAGTGAATCCAGTAGTTTGAGTATAAATGGTTGATAATTTATCGAGTAAACTGGGTAATGGCATCACAGATCAACCAAACAGCAACCTGAATACTTGATGAATACTCAATTTTGCATAGTAATGAAGTTAGGAAATGTAAACCTGACTCCTGACGCAGGAGTGAAATAAGCACCATCAATTGCTGGCAGAAAGGTTACTAAAGTGATTTAAGTTAAGTCAAATTTAGGGAATGTAGTACGTTGTGATCAACGCCTTTCTATGATCAGATGGTTATTACGTTTGAGATATACGTTCTAGGTTAACAAAATGTAGAGAAAATGGATGTTGAGTCAAGGTCAAAGTCAAAGTTTTATTATGGGCGATTTAACAAAGCTAAAGCTTATCTTGTCCCATAGGATTTTTACAGAATATTTTGAATAACCTCACAAAGAGAAAATAACAATGACAATAACATGCATGATCACTCACGGATGTTGAAATTTTAAGTGTTCCAATGCTTTATCAAGTTGCGATTTAAATAGGTCAACTGTGGGAGCACACTTTTCATCAGTTGGAGGAGAATACGATACGCCGCACACTCTAACTGCAAACGAGTGATGCCGGCAATCAAGGTGACTGTTCTGGGTCCTCACCTTTAGTGGATTTCACCTGATATGATCATTATGAGATAAAACCAGCGTAGAAAGCTAAGGGTTGATGCAGTATGTGATATGCCAAGATTAGGTCTTCCTGAAGTCGGCGGTATTGAGATGAGAAGAGTCCCTATATTTGTAGTATTTCGGTGTATGTCTTGTTATACAGACCTCTTACCAATTTCGTTGCCAGCCTTTGCGGACTTTCTAGAACCTTATTGTCGAGGTTTAACCATGCGTTCCAAACTTGAACGGCCTACTCCATGTGTGGTCAAACGAACGCTGCTAGCAAGCGTGGGAATGGTGCTTGTTCTAACTACCCGAAAACAAGTCTGAGTAGTCCAACTTGCTTTAGAGCCATGGATGATGCTCTGGCACAGTGCGTGGAACATCCCACGTCCTCCTGTAGCATAACTCCCAAATCGCTTTCATCAGCGGCATGCGGTAGTATTTGATTCCCCAGAATAAAGGAGAAGCGAGTCTTATACCGCATGGACATAACTCTGCATTTGGAAATGTTAAACGCGATATCATTGGTGAGTGAGTCAATGTGAAACATACCAGGGTTCAGTGTTGGTTTCTAAGATGTACAAAGAGGCGCTCCGTACTAAGGGCAAGATGACCAAGTGCCGTAATTTTCACATATGTGCTGATATTTTTTAAACTATTTGAATCCAGAGGCTTTTTACTGAGAAGACCCGGGGAAGGGGAAGCCAGGGCATTGTGGAACTTGCTGGGCTAGTGAAAAATGACAAAAGTTCCACCGTCTACTAAAATTCTATCTACCAAAATATTCCGACATTATGGTCGCTAACCGTACCGCCCGAAATAAACGCAGCACTATCCCACTGCAACACTCTATTTCATCGCTTAACGGTAGTCCAAAACTGCTAACCTAGCTCTAAATAGGCAAATTATCGTTCACTGTTTACTCATAACCCAAATTCATCGAAATGACTGATATGCTCACCATCCGTACCACTGATTGACCCGGGAACAGAAAGTAGTAGATAAATTCTCCCAAAGTCAGAAGTCTACCATTTAAAGCCCGCATTCTGTGTTTCAATTGAAGTGGATGACTGATGTCTCTGTCGTGCTGTACTACTGAACTTACTGCTACCCTGTAAGTACTTTCCGATAAGCTCTCCGAATAAACAAATTCACATTTTTGTTATGGCAAATTTGTAAAGCCGATGTTTTATAAAGCCCATAGAATTTGTACTCACTAGGTTTGGATGATGGCGTAATGGACAAAAAGCCTATCACATTCACTCATATGGGTTGAACATTCAGGGGTTTTAATGCTTCATCGAACCTCAACTTGAATAAATTGA